ACGAGTTAAAATAAAATAGTGTGATACCCTTTTCAAAGTGCACTCATTTTTTTTAGGAAAATACTGAGAAGATCACAGAGAACTAAAAAGCAGATTCCAAGTCAGCCCCAAAGCATTTACGGTCCATCAAACCACTGACCGACACTTACATTCTTCAATATACAAAAAGTTTAAACTTCAACAATTACATTGTTTTTATGAAGTATTTATATTACCCATTCTCCCCATTAAACTTTTACACTCTGCTTATTGTAAGAATTAAATTCCATCCATTCCCCTCCATTTTTTATTCTTAAAGCTGGAGGACATAAATATAATCAGATACAGAAACTCATTGAAAATTTGCCTAAAGCTCCAATAAAGAAATTCATAAATGGAAACAAAACTAAAATACTACACTGCTACTTGGGCTTTGACTGTATTATAAATAAAAGGTGGGGGTGTTATAAACTGGGGGCTGTGATAGATCCATTACTTTAAGCAACTTGAACAATTGGTTTTACTGAGACGGCTGATCAGTGTTCACGACACGAGTCTCACTCAAACATTGTAGACAAAGATAAAGACAAGAAAATGCCGCTGATGCAGAGAATCAAATGACCGTATTGGATATCAGATTTTTAAATTGCTTTCTGTTAAGACGACAGCATGGCCCAAAAAAAAAAAAAAGTTTAAAAATGTTCCGTTTTGTCATGAAGGATTCCATAAATCTGAGTGTTCACATAATAATCACTCTACAAAGACTGTCCTACATACCAGAACCTGTTCTGTTCAGAGGTAAGGAGGTGTTGAGCTCGCCTAACAAACGGCCACTAAATCTAAAGCTCCTTACAAACGCAAATCAAAAAAGAATGAAAAGAAATATCTCAGCTCGATTACAAATGACAACACCAACAAAAAACTTTACAACAAAAGTGCTGAAATGTTTTGTAGGAAGTCCCATTCTATACTGTGGTGCTTGAATGTTGGTGAAGCCTTTAGAAGTTTTTATATTTCTGCATAAAAATGACCTAAAACATCAGATTTTCACACAAGTCCTAAAAGTTGATAAAGAGAACCCAGTTAAACAAATGAGACAAAATATTATACTTGGTCATTTATTTATTGAGGAAAATGATCCAATATTACATATGTGTGAGTGTAAAAGTATGTGATCCTCTAAGGATTATCAGTTAATTTGAAGGTGAAATTAGAGTCAGGTGTTTTCAGTCAATGGGATGATGAGCAGGTGTGAGTGGACACCCTGTTTGATTTAAAGAACAGGATCTATCAAAGTCTGATCTTCACAACATGTTTGTGGAAGTGGATCATGGCAGGAACAAAGGAGATTTATGAGGAGCTCAGAAAAAGAGTTGCTGATGCGCATCAGACTGGAAAATGTTACAAAACATCTGTAAAGAGTTTGGACTCCACCGATCCACAGTCAGACAGACTGTATACAAATGGAGGAAATTCAAAACCATTGTTACCCTCCCCAGTAGTGGTGGACCAACAAAGAGCAAGACGTAAAATAGTTGAGGAGGTCACAAAAGACCCCAGTGTAACTTCTAAGCAACTGAAGGTCTTTCTCACGTTAATGTTCATGAGTCCACCATCAGGAGAACACAGAACAACAATGGTGCATGGCAGAGTTACAAGAAGAAAGCCACTGCTCTCCAAAAAGAACATGGCTGCTCATCTGCAGTTTGCTAAAGATCATGTGGACAAGCCAGAAGACTGTTGGAAGAATGTTCTGTGGACAGATGAGACCAAACTAGAACTTTCTGGTTTAAATGAAAAGTGTTTGGAGAAAGGAAAACTCTGCATTCCTGCATAAGAACCTTATCCCATCTGTGAAACATGGTGGTGGTAGTGTCATGGTTTGGGCCCGTTTTGCTGCATCAGGGCCAGGACAGCTTGCCATCATTGATGGAACAATGAATTCAGAATTATATCAGAGAATTCTAAAGGAACATGTCAGGACATTGAACTGAATCTCCAGAGAAGGTGGGTCATGCAGCGACACAATGACACAAGTGGTTCTACCAAAGAATGGTTCAAGAAGAACAAAGTTCACGTTTTGGAATGGCCAAGTCAAAGTCCTGACCTTAATCCAATCCAGATGTTGTGGAAGGACCTGAAGCAGCAGTTAATGTGACCCAGAGTTGAAGCTGTTCTGGTTCTCACACCAGATACTGAAAGCAAAGGTTCACATACTTTTACTACTCACAAATGTGTAATATTGGATAATTTTCCTCAATGAGTAAATTACCAAGTATAATATTTTTGTCTCATTTGTTTAACTGGATTCTCTTGGGACTTGTGTGAAAATCTGATGATGTATTAAATCTTATTTATGCAGAAATATAGAGAATTATAAAGGGTTCACAAACTTTCAAGCACCACTGTAAGTCCCTTTAATATAACTGTAGAGTACAGGACTTTGTACATACAGTTGTGTTCAGACTGAAAGGGGGTTGACAAAGAAAAAAGGCCCTACACAAAAAGTGACACCTTCAAGTGCCCGTGACATTGAATTTCTGTAAGAAATATAAAAACATTTTGGGTAAGATAACATTAATAATGGATTGTTAAAAAAATGCACACCACTGAGATGAACAGTTGTTGAAATATTCGCATGTGCAGCAACAGGAAGTGATGACAAAGGAGAACACCTTCATGTGAACAGAGCATGACTACAATGGCTGACAGCACAGAGAGTAGAGAAGAATCGGACATTTCTTTAGATTATTTTGAGTCTATCAGTGAGAGACGAAGAAGAGTCACAGTTCAAATAACATTAATGCCAGTTATGTGACAAAAATAGGTAGTATTGTGTGTATTAATGCCAAATTTCTTAAATATTAAAATTTGTCTTCCACTTTTTGTATTTGTAGGATAAGCATGCATAAATAAAAGGTTGAATGTCACAGTCACTTTCAAGCTTGACTGAAATTTGCAGCTGCCCACATATAAAAGCCCAGTGCTCCCAGGAGAACAGTTTTACATCAGATGAGACAAAGACTGAGCTAACTGGCCATAAGAAGAAAAAGTTAGAACGGAAGAGCTATGGTGAGGCTTCCAAATACTTAACTATCAAGTATGGTGGTGGTGGCATTATGCTGAGGGGTGGGCGCGTTGCACAACGTGGATAGAAAAGGAGAGCTACCTTAAAATTCTACAGTGATCTCAAACAAATAACGCAGGCTAACATTTAGCTTCTGGACAGGCCTTCTCAAAGCCACGACTTCAGCCCTGTAGAAAACTTGAACAGCTGTGACACCATGGTGAACAGTGCCAGGAAACCAAACAATTTAAATAAACTCTGCCATGTTTTCCCAAGAAAAGTGGTCTAATATGTATTCACTCATTCAGCTTGTTAATTAACACCATACTTTATATAAATGACAGCACATCCATCATTACAGCTTGTATTATGCGACTGTATTGTTGTTTCAGTTCTTTGTCATATGGCAAATGTCATTGTTGATGTAACGCAACAATGTCCTGCAACAATTTAATAAAGTCCCGATCCTTTCTCCAGCCACACATTATACCAGAAGCCTGTTGAGTTCTGCACAAAGCCGGTGGTCAAGGGATAACTTGTTAAGGTACGGAACAAATTTTAGCTCAGGTGTATTTATATATTTGAGCCAGTGTGCATACTGTAATGTTGTCTAATGTCTAATGTGGATTAGAGAACATTTCCAATAAATTCAAACTTGTGCATGTAATGCTTGCTTTTAAAAACATTGAAGGTGTATGTTGTGTAATCATTCCACCCTGGGGGGAAAAATGGTTCAAATCAAATAAACAACCCAAATTAATGATGTGTCCACAATTTATGCATGTAAACTTCTGAGTATAACCACACTCCAGAGGTCACTCAGCCAAAGCCTTAATTAGCATAATTAACTAATAAAATATATTATCTATCTATCAGTTGTTCCTCTAATTATAAAAAATAGTTTATACACAAACCAGAGAGTTAGCAGGAATATGCTCTTTTTATCACTTCTGCATGAAAATAAATCTTTAATTTAGGGCTTGCAGTATTTTTTTAACTGACAACAGCAAACTTTTAAAATATTCAATAATATGTCTCTTATTTAGTAATACTTGTATATTCTTTTAAAAATTGTTTACTTGTACTTTACAAATCTTTGGAAACTTTGACAGCTCAGCAGGTGACTGCCCAAGTCTGTAAAACACTCTTATCTGAAATAAAGGTGTGTGGCTGTTTTGACCGATTGTCTGAGCCTAAAAAATTGTTAAGATTAATTTAAAAAGGTATTCCTCACAGTTCTTTTTATTTCCTAATGTGGCATGATATGCTGGCTTTTGTTTTCTTTTCACGCTCTCAACAAAGGGAATTCCAGCACTATTTAAACTCCAATCATGCAATCGTGCATACATCTAAACTTTTATTTAACTAGGCAAATCCCACTGAGATCACAGATCTCTTTTGCAAGGGAGGCCTGGGCCTGAAGGCAGACTAAAACAGTACCTGAATTAAAAAAGAAAACAAATAAAGCAGATAGCTCCTGGGCAAAATAAATTACAATAATTTCAGACACAAGCTAACGCGAAGCAATGACACATTGACATCATTTTTAGTATCCTGGTTGCACTCAAACTTTTCTTTTTTTTAATTACCAGTACTCAAGCTTGTGATCCAATGCCCTTTACAGAACTGGAGTGAGGTCAGAGGTCAGAGATCAGCTGCTGGCTATCAACTGACAGCCTCTTGTTTGGCAGCTGCACGGTGTCCTGCAGCAGGAAACTGTAAATCTATGGAAGGCACCGATTCACTGCTGGTGAAGGTAGACAGACAGTAAGAAAAATGCTGGTTGCAAAAGCACCTTTTCATCATTAAAAACCTGAGAAGAGAGAAGATTGTCTCCTCCGAGCGCAGCACTAGTTCCGCTTCTTGTTAGACGTAGATGAGAGTTGAGGAAATTGAAATTGTCTAAAAAACTGTTTTTATCAGCATGCTGCGTGTATCCAGACGCCTGGTGGTGTCAGCGTGTCTTCCTGTAGTAAACAAAGGTCGCCACCAAAACTACTGATGCTGCAATGGCTACATTCCTCCATCGTGAAAAATTTCGGATAACGCCCGCCTGGAAACATAAAAAAAAAAGCAAGATAAACTTAAGATCCTTCTGAAAACTGCAAAATGATTAAACCAATCTTATACGATGGTGGATCACTTACCCAACCCCCCTGCTGTACTAGCCAGGGATAAAGCAGCTCCCTGATGACCTGAAGAACCCAGCTGGTGACTATTCTGATGTTCTCAACATGGTTGGTTGTTAGAGCCTTTAAAGCAAAGAAATAAACAGGTTACACTAATCAAGTTGATGTTGATGTGATCATTAATTATAACTTGATGGCGTCAGCGTTTTAATTGAAATAGCAGTTTTTTCTTCACGCTACTAGTTTGCACAAGATACATCAGTTGAGTTCTGGTCAGTTCCATCTGAGTAATGGTTTTAAACTTTAACGATGAATAAAGCAGAGTCTTCAAACAGGACGGGTTATGGAAGCTTTTAAAGGCTAAGAGTCTAAAATATAGGAATACTTCCAGCTAGCTGACAAAAATTATGGTTTGCACATCCTGAAAAATTTCCTTGGTGTACCACATCTGAAAAGGAGGAGTACAAAGCTTAAAGAAAAATAAAATAAACAGTAAGTTTTCATTAGGCTGCTGAATGCACAATAAGAAGAAAAAAAATGCTAACAACTATTCATCTATTTTTGACTCTTTTTTTCCTGTTGCAGGGGAAAAAACGCACCCCGATGGCTGGAAATCCACTGTAGACAGGTGGAGAAACATCTCAACACATCTTAACTCACCTCCGTGTTTTAATGTACATGTTTTAAAGCCTACTGTATAATTAAAATAATGACAAATACTGTTAATATCTTAACTATACTTGCACACTCAGGTAATATACATCTCTTTTTACATGTTTTAGCATTACACTAGTTATTGAAGAGCTCATATATCATGACATTTGTAGTATCTTAATAATATGTATGTAGTATGTATTTTATTTTTAGTGAGGCAGATAAATGAAACAATCTTTCAAATTATGATGCAAGCATGAACATTGCTCTTTAAGTTGTACTTTTTAAAAAATAAATATATGCTGGTCACGCAAAAATACAAGATGGTGGATATTTTTTGAAAGACGGCCACTTGGCCCCTGTCAGAATAGTATATTTCGCATAACTTTTAGTGTTTTTTACCTAAATATTGCATTACAATTATCTATTGATACATTTTTGAACATGTAGATTTCAAATTTTGACCTTAAATTGTGCTCAAAATGCTTTTAAGACATTTTCTAAGCAAAAAAAATGCATGTTTTATGTTTACAAGGACATTAGTCTTTTGTAAAAAGCAAAGTGTAACAAACGCATGAATGTTTCATTTAACTGATATTAACAATAATATAAATTAAATGTAATTCTTTTAAATAATACACTTGCAACAATAACAACAATCTTACAGAAACTACTATACAAATGCCATGTACAACAGGATATGTTACATGTAATACTGGTAAAAGACACTCAGTCACACTGTTACAAATATGGTCGATCAATTACTGTTATAACAATCATACAAGAAATACTATAACAGACATGTATTAATGTTAAAAGAGAAACTGTCATTACAATGTATGTAAATTCTAAACAAAAATTATACAATGTAGATACATTATTGCTGCACAGTTATAGGTCTATGCGTATCAACATTGGTATCTTAGTCATCCTCACAGGTACAGCTGCATAAAGTAGTGCAAAGTTAACCTAATCGGATGCACTTGGACCTTCCTTGACAGACCAACTTACATCCACACTTGGTGAGTTGCTCACAGCTTTTAGCAGTAGATGGAAGTGTTGTCCAGAAGATCAGCCAGTTTGTCTCTTTTACAATCTACCCCCAGGCTGATGGACTTTGGTCCTGGAAGCTGCTGAATTGCCTGGCCCCATATGCAGCCAGCTTGGTAAGCTGCAGGTCTAGTGGGCTGAACAGGTGCTGCCTTTGTAGGAGGGATTGCTTCATATGATCTCCGTTTTCTAGTAAAAGGTCCAGTCTCACCTTATCCCCACTAGAAGACATACTTGATTTGTTGTACATCATGACCACAAATTTTTCAATACTGTGGTCATTCACTAGAGGTGGGTACTTACTCAGCTGTGCAAACACATCAGAAGCCTCTGGACATACCTCCCACATTTACCAGGCAATCTTCTTTCCTTTACCAATCTTAATGGATCCAACACCATAGGCATTGCATTAAGTGCTTCAAACTGTGGAACATTAATAACCAACATATTGTAATCATCGTGGGTACTGGTAATCTTAGTGGAAGATGAAATGAGAGCTTTATGTTTCTTGTCTTTTTGGCAAAGGCAACATTTGTTCCAGTCAGTATGTCATCTGCTACAAAAAGGTTCTGGTAGTGCAGTTGCCATTTTGTCTCACATATACAGTATATATATCTCAATATTCATTCCATATTGTACAAAATATTGGTGAACAGTGATTCAAGAAAAGCTTAGATACGTGTAGATGTACATCTGGTATGGGATATAACAAGGTTCGATTACAAAGAAAAAATCACCTATGCCTACACCGTGCCATATCATTCATGCAATACCAATTAAGTCCCATGTGATCTATAAACCATCCAGGTAACTATACTGTGAAGAGCATAATACAGGGTCCCACGATACTCTTGGCTCAGCTCTCCCATGCTGGCACATCCTGTCAATTCAGGTGCGTCTACCCAACATAAACTAAGAAATTAAACTATATTTTCTAGCTAGTGGGGCTCATTAAATAGCATTTGGGACACTAAACTAAACACTTCTACTAATAGCTGCTACAGCTCATTTATTAGCAAAGTGAGATTAGCTGACATTGAACCCCATGCCGAGTTACACAGCAGTGAAGTTACCAGTGTGCCCTGTTTGTGTGTAGCATTCACTCATCAATATACACTGGATTTGATTTAAGAGTTCCATTCCATCCAATTAGCCTTTGCCTAAAAAGACAACCCTACAAGACAGTAGGTGGTTTGTATTCAGACTTCCTTCTCATAGCCTTTGCCTAAAGAGGCACAACCTACAAGGCAGCAGGTGACCGGAATGGACACCTGCTAACTGCTGACCAGAATGAGTGCCAAGGCGTTTTCACATGCCAGTGGGCCAGCCCACTGCACCTCTGGGGCTCCAGTCTGCTCCGAGATCTCCCACAGTCTAGCCTGGGGCTGGCCGCAAGGTACCCAGTTACCCAAGGTGTGCCACATGGAGACACAGTGTGAGTCTTGACCTGGAGAACTGAGACCGCCTGGAACAGTCTTACGCACTGTGCCCTTTTTGTCGCTCCAGAAGGCAGCTGCAGTTGGAAGTGAGAATGACAAGCAAACTACACTATACTACAACAATACAACCTACAGGACCTGTGCAAATAACACTACACCACTAAATTTAATGAAAACATGTACTAACAAGCACTACTATGTATTTGCAAACTAATCTATTTACATGGAAGTCTTGAATCGGGTAGAAAGTTAAAGAAAAACAAAAATAAAGTGCAAAAATATACATTCTGTCATTATAGTAGATAAAATTTGAACTTCTTGAGTCAAGAAATGTATATTATGATGTCTACATTGTACAAATTGGACAAATACTTTGGAAGATACAAGAAAAACTGTGATTTCCACATTGGGTATTGGCCATCTTAAAATAAAGGCAGTCCTTTTGAATTTCCGCGTGGCCAGCATTCTTTTTTGATTTAGCTACCCCTAAGGAGTACTCATACTAAATTTGGTGCTTGCATCATAATTAGAAAGATTCTTGTAGGAATTTCTGTTATCTGTTTCACTATTAGAAGCTGATGTAAACATGAACACTCATGCTCAGATACTGTACAGTTCTACCTCATACTCAAACCATTTTTACATTTAAAAACTGTGTCTATTGAAATTCTTACACAGACCACTGGTTTGTTGTAACATAAAATAACATTTAAACTGGAAGCGTTACCCTGTAAATGAGTCTGTAGGCAAGATGGAAGAGAGCCACCACCCGACCCCAGTTGATGCCATCAATAAAGATGCTCCTGGTCACCATCATGAAGACTTCCTTTGCACAGTTACCCTGAACCATATTGATTAGTCTGACAAAAGAAAAAAAAAAAACAGCTGAAATACAGACAGATTGTCGTTTATCACTAAATATTTTTATATCAATTCCAGCAAAAAACAACAACAAAAAAAAAAAATGTCTTTGTCACACTAGCTCTTTCAAGGGACACCGTGGATTTTATTATTGTAGAACTGCTCACCCTCTTTTCATTTCATTTTGTTTCTTTAGACTTGGCTTTGAAACAGACTATAAAATGTAAAGTAAAATGTGATCATGCTCATTTTTGTCCTGTTCCTTTATGCATAACTAAGTTGGCTTCTTGTGTCCATGATAACTCATTCATTCATCATCTTCCACTTATCTGTGGTCAGGTTGTGCAGGTAACAGACCCAGGGGGGGAAACTAAAACATCCTTTTCGCAAGATGTGCCCAGGCCAGAGAGGAAACAATTTCTACAGAGAGTTCTGAGTCTGCCCCAGTGTCTCCCAGTGAGACGTGTCCAGAAAACTTCCAAAGGGACCCTCAGATGATAGAGCTCCTCATTTTATCTTTAAGGCTGAACCCAGGCCCTTTACGGAGGAAGCTCTTTTCAGCTGCTGGTGTCCAGGATCTCATTCTTTGGGTCATGAATCCCTCATGATCATAGGGCTGGAACATAGATGAACCAGTAACTCAAGAGCATTGCATTTTGCTCCTTTACCATAATAGAATGAAGAAACTCCTTCATTACTGTAGACTAGATCCTGATCTATTGTTTTATCTCCCACTCGGACCAATTTCATTTTTTCCAAATCCACAAAGACACAATGAAGTTCTTTCTGACCCTCTCTGCACTTCTCCATCAGCATCCTCAAAGCAAACATGCATCTGTGGTGCTCTTTCTTGGCATGAAACCACACTGCTGTTCAAATAGTCACCTCTCGTCCAAGTCTTGCTTCCACAACTCTCTCCCAGACCTTCACTGTGAAGCTCATCAACTTAATTCCCCAGTAGTTCCTAGAAATCTATACCTCACCCTTGTTATTAAAAATGGCACCAGAACACTTCTTCTCCATTCCTCAGGCATTTTCTCAACCTCAAATATGCCATTGAATATTTGAGTCAAAACCTCACTGCCATCTCTACAAGACATTTTCAAACTGCCACTGGTCATCTGTCTTTCCCGTCTTCATTCTTTTCAGAGCTTTCCGAACTTCACCTTCACTAAGCTTGCCCACTTCCTGGTCCACAGTTTCTATGACTTCTACTCTTCTTTTCTTTTCATTTTCTTCATTCATTAGCTCCTCGTAATACGCCTTCCATCTTCCTGTCACACTCTACTCACTTGTTAGAACATTACCATTCCTATCTTTAACAAGGCTAACCTGCTGCACATCCTTTCCAGCCTGATCCCTCTGTCTCACCAATTGATACAAGTCCTTCTTGCCCTCTTTAGTGTCCAGCCTCCCATACGACTCATCATATTCATTCAACCTTTATTATGCCTTCTGCTTTACCTTTGCCATCTCCCTCTTTGCTCCACATTGCATCTCCTTATATTTGTGTCTCCTCTCTTCAGTCCTCTCAGTCATATTTCTTCTTGGCTAACCTCTTTCCTTGAATAGCTTCCTGCACTTCACTATTCCACCAACAAGTTTCCTTACCATTCATTCTCTGTCCAGATGACACACCAAGTACCTTTTTTTTCATTCAGCTTTTATTTAGACAGGTAAATTCCATTGAGCCTCAAGGACTCATTTACAAGAGAGACCTGATTTCAACAAAGAATGATGACAACAATGGACAACGACGACAACAATAAACAGTTATAAAAAGGCATACAGATTTTTTTTAATTAAATTAAACCTTCCTACCTGTCTCTCCATTTACTGTTGCTGTAGTAGCCCAGTTGTCTGGAAGCTCTTTCTTACCACCCAGATCCTTTAACAGCTCCTCTCTGAACCCCTTACAACAGTCTTCCTTCCTCTGCTTCCACCATTTGGTTTTCTTCTCTAATTTTACTATTTTTGCTTAGTCACAACAACATTCATTCTACACACAACCATCAAATACTGTCTGGTGACACTCTCCCCTGCCACAACCTTACAGTCCTCAATCTCCTTCAGGTTTCCTCTTCTACACAAAATGTAGTCTACTCGTGTATTTCTGCCTTCACTCTTATAGGTCACTATGTTCCTCCCTCTTTTGGAAGTAAGTGTTAACTACAGCCATTTCCATTCCCTTGGCAAAATCTACTTCCATTTGTCTTTCTTGTTTCCTTTCCTTACGCCAAACACACCCCTCACTTCCTCATCCCATCTGTTTCCTTCACCAACATGTCCATTCAGATCTGATCCAATCACCACTCTCTCCTTCCAGGGAATATTCTCTATCACTTTATACAGATCCTTCCAAAATTTCTCTTTCTCTTCTACCTCACATCCAGCCTATGGAGCATAACCACTGACAACATTTAACATTAGACCTTCTATGTCTACCATTAGACACATCACCCTCTCTGACAAATGTTTCACCTCTGCTACATTCTTTGCTAACTCCTCCTTCTGGACCACCCCTGCTCAATTTCTCTTTCTATCCACACCATGGTAAAACAACTTAAACCCTGCTCCAATGTTGCAAGCCTTGCTGCCCTTTCACTTGGTCTCTTGGACACACAAAATATCTACCTTCTTTCTCTGCATCATGTCAGCCAGCTCTCTACCTTTGCCTGTCATTGTCCCCACATTTAGAGTTGCAACCCTCAGTCCTACATTCTTGACTTTCCTCTTCTCCCGCTGTCTCCTGACACGTTTCCCTCCTTGTAGTGTCTGACTTTGGCAATCTTCCAAACTTTGATGGCTTTCTTGGTTTATTGTATATTTTCCTTTCAAAGTCTTTCCATTCAGTCAAATTTAACAATAATTTAAAATGATATGTAGACTAAGGTGGTTGTGCATATGAAGAACTACTCACCTCTGGAACTCCACGTTACTGTTCAGGTCGTCAGCTATTTTAAGTAGCTGATCAACAACCTCTTTGATTTCCTGATCCTCTTGCTCATCTGACCTTCCTCCCAGGTCTTCAGAGTGGATGTGTCGACCGGGGTCTTCTGCGTTTACACGCTCGATTACGTAACTGTGGCAAAACAGGAAAAACACTGTTACACCAAAGCACTACATAAGCTCATGTCTAATACATTTTTTATTGTAACATTGTACACAACATAAATGTAAAAAAAGGTCATCTGGTCTTTGCAAGTTCAGAAAATAAAGTAGATAAAGCTTAGGTTTAACAATAACTCATTACAAATGTGTGTCATTATTTTATAAAAGTGTAAGTCATTGGTGCTGCTGATCAAATGTATTGATTAACTGATCATCAACAAGTGTGATCACTTCTATAAAAACAGGAGTTTTGGTAGTTTGCTGTATTTAAATGTTTTAACACGATGATAATGAGAAAAGGAACTGTGCCATCAACCTGGGGGCCGAGATGGGGTAGAGGCAGGGCAGCCGACCCAGGACCCGAAAGTCTCGGGTTCAATCCCCAGCCATTCCCACATGTCGTGGTGTCTCTGAGCAAGACAACTAATCCCTAATTGCTCCCCGGACGCCTTCAATAGCTGCCCACTGCTCTATCTGGGTGTATCCCAGGTGCGATTGGTTAAATGCAGAGAACTAATTTCGCCATTGTATGTTCCCATACAATGATGACAACACATAGCACTTATTATTATAACCTCAAATATCATACCACACCATACCACTTTATTTCTAAAGTACCTAAAACAGCAGCAAGGCTGTTTATGGCTGTTTATTGTCATGTGTACCTTATCTGTGGTTTTGTTTAAAACAGGTCTCTCTTGTAAATGAGTCCTCGTGACTCACTGACACTAACCTGGACAAATAAAGGTTGAATGAAAATGGCCAACCAAAGTGCTGTACAAAAAAAACAAACAGCAAAGGACACAGGATAAAATACATACAATTCACAAAAGTAAAGAGAATAAACAAAATGACTAAAAAATGAAAAGCACAGTGGTTAAAATTAACTCCCACTAGATCGAATGCCGGAGAATAAAACGTGTTTTCAAAGGAGAATTAAAAACAATGAGAGAGGAAGTCTGCCTGACATGGTGTGGTGACTCATTCCACAGTTTTGGACCTGAAACAGAGAAGGTCCTGTCACCTCTGAGCTTAAAACATGTGCATGGAAGAAATAATAGCATCTGATCTTCTGACCTCAGACAGCACTGTGGGATATATGGCTGCAGCAGATCAGCAAGATAGGAGGGGGCAGAACTATTGAGATTTACAAACATACAAAAGGATTTTAAAATGAATTTGGAAAATAACTAGAAGCCAGTGGAGGAAAGCCAAAACTGAAAAAATGTGTTATATTTTGCCTGTTCCAGTTAAAAATTGGGCTGCAGCATTTTGGACCAGTTGTAATTGTGTGATGGAGGTCTGACTGATTCCAAAAAGAAGCACATTGCAGTAATCAAGCCTGGGTGTTATGAAAGCATGTATTACTGTCTCAAAGTTAGTTTTGGACTTTATGGGCATGGGCTTCAATTTAGACGGTGACCTCAACTGACCCCCCCCCCCCCACTCCCCCCAGGATTTAACAATTGTGGAGTGGTGGTGCAGAGGTTAGAAGATGGGCCTGTGATCGGAAAGTCACAGGTTCAACTCCCAGTACTGTCAACATCAAAATGTGGGTGGAAAATGTGAAACACCCACACCTGCCTCCACTCTCATTCGCCCCACTCTGGGCCCCTGAGCAAGACCCTTAACCCCCACCATCTGCTGCCTAAACAAGTCTCTCTTGAAAATGAGTTCTCCTGGCTCAATGAGACTACCTGGATTTTTTTTTTTTTTTTTAATTGTGTTTACATGACTGTTTGGCTTCATGGAAGGGTCCATTTTCACATTAGTGCCAACCTGTTTCTCAAATGGCACTAGAAAGAAAAGGTCATACAGTGTTTTCTGATTGTGCCATTAAGTGGAAACAACATGACTTCTGTCTTCTTATCACTAAGATTTAAGACATTTAAAGCCATCCAATCCCTGATGTCAACCAGGCAGTCAAGAAGAGGTTGGATAGAGCATGCACCAGTGTGCTTCAGAGGGAAATACATTTGGCAATCATCGGCATAAAAATGGAAAAGGATGCAGCATTCACAAAAAATAGCACCTAGTGGCAGCAGGTAAATGGTAAATGGACTGTACTTATTTAGCATTTTTCTATCTCATCAAGATACTCAAAGCACTTTACAACACAATCTGTGCCTTCATTTACCCATTCATGCAGCATTCTACTAGATCTATACAAAGAACAATCAGCACTTTATCACATTCATCCACTGATGGGAAACACATCGGAGGCAATGAGGGGTTCAATGTCTTGCCCAAAGATGCTTCGGCATGTAACTTCTGGAGGATTAGAACCCCCAACTCTTGCATTGAAGGACGATTGCTCTAGCCCAGCCACCCCAGGTATAAAGAAAAGAGAAGGTGTCCAAGAATGGAGGCCTGCGGTACCCCCCACCGAAGATCTGTGGATGTTGAAATAAAGTCCTTGACATAGACAAAAAAAGGTTCAGATGATTTTTTAAAAAGCTCACAAAAAGTTTGGAGTGCATTATTCAATGAAGAGAAAAAATACAAGTGAAAAATATTTAATTTACAATCAAATACAAAGATTAAAATGTCCTAAATATGTAAAACTTCAGAGCTTAAAGTGGATGCAGCTTTTTTTTTTTTTTTAACAAGGGACAGGCAGGGACTACAAATGACCCACAGATAAAGACCTATACACAAAGCAACTACTTCCTCAGGCAGCTGAGACGAGCTGGTCTGGGAAGCTCAGTCCTCACCTTCTACAGGTGTGCAGTGGAGAGCATCCTGTGCTCCAGCATCAACGTGTGGCATGGAGGCTGCACAGAAGACTGTTGGAGTCAGTCTCCCCACCATCACAGACATCTACACCTCCAGATGCAGGAAGAGGGCCACCTGCATCATGAAGGACCCTGCTCACCCAGCACACACACTTTTTGCCCCGCTCCCTTCAGGAAAGAGGTTAAGGAGCATTAAGTGCCGAACCACTAGGCTGAGGAACAGCTTCTACCCTGAGGCTGTTAGACTCATGAATCTTTAACCAGAATATTCACTGTAATGCCACTTTAACTGGTGATATGTGACTTATCTGTGCTGCTGATTTTCCATGCTGCTGATCTCATGCTGCTGATTATCTCATGTATTCACTCATACCCATCTGCTCATGACAGACTCATGTTCGGGCTGCTGTTGTTACGCCGTATTGTTTTACATTATTAGCGTTTAGTGTATATCTTAAATCCTTATTTGCGGTTTCTTTTTATACTTTATATTTAGCTATTTTGGGTGTAACTGGGACCTTGTGTACATAATTTCGTCCCACCTCACGTACCACATGTGATGGAAGCGACGATAAAATTGACTTGAACTTGAAAAGTTGCATTCTCTAATTTGTAGCACTGTTTAATGAACCTTCACGGATTAAAGAAACTTCACAAACGCACAGTGGCAGCGAGGGCTTTACTGTGCAAATGTTTGTCTCCATCTCACTGAGATTCATTTGGGATGAAGAAATTGCTCTTTCTGAGTAATTAAACTCTCTTCAGAGCCACTTTTACCACCTGTGATGTAGCCTCATTTGGGTTTACACAAACATGCACGCACACACACATGCACTATCCTAGCTAGAAGTGAACAAAAAATAAATAATCTTGTAATTAGCAAGATTTTCAGACATAAAAGGTTTAAATTTAAAAAAAAAGTAAACTCAATCCTGAAGTAAAGCAAAGTGAAAACAGAGCGCCTGGATGCAGACAGCTGCAGAGTGAACAGCAGGTGACACTAGCTTCTGGCACCCAAACAGCCTCAGCAGAGCCACTGTCGTGCAAATTTAGCAACAACTAGTCAGATAAGTGTGCATATGTGTGTTTGTAATTTGGACAAACTTTCCCAGCAGGTTACTGTAATGAAACTTACCCTCTGAAGATCACCACTCCCTGCTCCAGTATGGGGTCATTAATGACATCTGGAAGAGTCACAACAGAAATAATTAATCATAACATCTCCATTAATCTGTACTGGTCTGCAGCGTGCAGTGTTTGCATTAAACCAGGGGTGCCCAAACGTTTTCCCTGAGAGGGCCAAATTTAAAATCTATCAGAGGACAGTGGGCCAAATGCAACAATACATGAAATGGTTTAAGTAAAGTCCATTTACTTATTATACAGTTATTTAACCTTCCATTCTGTATAAAGAACATTACAGAACAGGCTGCGTTGGTGGGGGGTGGTGGTGGGGGGTGGGTCCTCCCCCAGAGAATTTTGAATAAAAGAGATGCCATTTCCTGCATTCTGGTGTATTTTACAAAGGTTTATTACAGTAGATTAACATGAAACAAAAGATGTAAACTCTGTTATTATTGACATCTCTGACCGCTTCATAATGCAACACCGCTGCAGCTCTGCAGGTAAGGGGCGTTCACTTCTGGACAAACTGAGGTTGCTGATTGGTCAGTTGCTGACATGTCTACTGGATTGACTGACAAGTGGCAGGACTCGTGAAACCAGTTTATATGTATAATTTACTTTTAAACACTTTGTGTGTGATTTGTAAGAGTATTAAGTGCAGGATCATTTCTTACCCTTGCGCCTCATGCACAGGTCTGTGTATGAGGCGCAAAATACAGTAACGATCTGAAGAAATTAATTCACATCTATGATGGGAAATGGGTCCTTGAGAGACATGGGTCCTTGTCCTCATTGGTCATTTCGGTTAGACTTCTGGTAACATGATGACAGAGTGGGTGCAGTTATAGTTGGAAATTCGGTGCATGTGATTACCCGAGGCAATCACTCTGTGCGTCACAAAAATCAGCCCCCAGGAGGGCTGTGTACCGGGGCAGGCATGAGCGCCCGGCTTTGTCAAAGGAAAATGTTATTTAGTGGCAGGAAGTTACCAAGGGATGGTAGGAAGTCTGTTAAAATAAAATATAAGAATATAAATTATTAAAATTATTACAAAAATAGACAAATTAGCTAAGCTACTGTGTAATCCGTGTAGTGCCATTATGGTAGTCAGACTGACTAACATTAAAGTCAATTGGTGGAATCAATGAGTGCAAACACATTGATTCTTCAAAGGAAATTTTACTATAGTAATGAGGACAGCTCGTCGGGCCAACTTTGGCCTGCGGGCCCCACTTTGGGCACCCCTGCATTAAACTCAGTGGATTTGTGTCTCGTGTGGAGAGGCCAGTATACCTTTAAATTGTTATAATGGTAAATGCCCTCTTGTTGCTCTAACTTTGATTCTTAAAATGTAAAATTGTGGTAGCATTAAAACAGAACTGATATTTTTTGATCTGGTTTTAATGGCTGTGAAGGACTGGCGACCTGTCCAGACCAGAGCGTACACTGCTTCTCTCCTGTTGACGCCCAGGGATCACCACCTTCTCCCTGTGACCCTGAACTGGATCGAGCAGGTACAGAAAATAGATGGATGGTTTCAATCAGTGGTTGTTATTTTGAGCTCTGAGTTGCACATAAGTTCAACCGGTTACATATACTTGTAGCAAGTCGGTGCTAAAAGTAAATCATCTTATAACTTAAGATAAAAAAGAAATAAATGTAACTATGTAGGTATCCGAGAATCTTGTTCACGAGTTATGGAACGAGTGATAGTTTGATGGATTGAGGCCTCGACCTCAGTAATGAAGGTGTTGCTTCGGTTTGCCGTGATGAAGAAAGAGTTTAGTTGAAAGGCAAAGCTCTCGATTTACAGGTGTGTCTAAGTTTTATCCCTCACCTAAGGTCAGAAGTTTGGATCATGACCAAAAGAATGAGATCCTGGATACAAGCGGACAAGAAGAGCTTCATTTATAGGGTGGCCAGGCTTAGCCTTAGAGATAAGGCGATGAGCTCCGTCATCTCGGGGGTGCTTGGGGTAGAGCAGGTGCTCCTTCGCATTGAAAGGAGTCAGTTGAGCTGGTTTGGGAATCTGATTAGGATGCCTCCTGGTTCCCTTTGGAGATTTTCAAGGCATGTCCCACTGGGCAAGACCCATAACTCACAGAAGGGATTGTGAATCTTCTCTGAAACACCTTGGGGCCCCCCCAGAGGAACTGGAGAGTGTCACTGGGGACAGGAATGTCTGGGTCTCTCTTCTGGACCTGTTGTCTATGGAACTCAACTACAGATACGTGATAGAAGATGGGAGATGAGGAAATGTAACTATGCTTGTGATTTGATCTTTTCAGAATATTAAGTATACTGTCAAATAAAACTGTGATAAGAGTCACAGTTTTTGAAATAAATCACAGTATCAGCTCTGGTTATGCTCTGGACAGCTCACTGGTTGTAGAAAACATACTGGTGGTAGATGGAAGCAGCTGGAAGTATTACTGTCCTACAAGCTGTTTGAAACTGAATCATAGGTTTGTGGCTGCTCAATTCTACTAAACGTTGTTGTCTACTCGAGAATAACTCCCTTGACTTCACTAAGAGACACCATCATTTCAGTCACTGTTTGTTACAGAGGTGCCACCATCATCCAAAACTGTCCATCCTCCTAGAGTTCTAATAACCAGCCTGCAAGTCGTTTGCCAAAAAGTTCATTTCAAGCAAACAAACACGATGCATTACAGTAAACTCAACCATAAGTAATAAGAGCAGAAGAATATCAAGTTATATTCAGGCCAGCGTTACATCTGTGCTACAGTTCAGACACTTTTTAATTTGTTGTCGCTTTTCATTCGGCTCAAATACTACTAGACCTGTCACGATAACAAATTTTGCTGTGCAATTGTCTCAGAAATTATTGTGATAAACGATAATATTGTTTGAAATTTAACAATAATTAATTGTCAAATTTTAGAAGAAATCTTTATTTGTTCTCATGTAATACATTTTTTGACCACCTGATGGCAGTATAAGATGGTTTGAACCAAAGGATGGATATCCTGATGCATGCTCAAAGGATGGATAGTTGAGCAGCATGTCTCTTTAAGAAAAATGGGAGGGAGGCTCCTTGACGTGATGTGGGCTGACATGGTGACGTTCATTCAACCTTTATTTATACAGGTAAATCCCATTGAGCCTTGAGGACTCATTTACAAGAGAGACATGATTTCAACAAAGAAAAATGACAACAATGGACAACAGCAACAACAATAAACAATTATAAAAAGTCATACTGCAGTTTGTTGTTGTTTTTTTTACAAATAGGATGGCTAAAAGAAAAAGGTAACAAAAAAACAGCTAGATTCTAAGGCGAATGTAGAAAACTAAAAACAGGAACATGTCTGAGTTGGTCCCTGCCAAGAGTCCAACAGGTTCTTAAAGCCACTTAGAGAGGTCAAGGTCGAGAGCTTCAATTGTTTTTGTAAGGTATTCCAGGAAATAGGAGCGGAGTAGGAGAAGGCCCTTTTGCCTATTTCAGTTCTCATTGAGGGAACACTGCACGTAATAATGTCCTGAGAGCGCACACTGTAGCTGCACTCACGCAGAGACATGTAGGAGGAGATGTATGAAGGCAGCAGACCAAGAAGTGATTTAAAGATGAAAATGTACCAGTGAGAGAGTCTGCATGAAGTTAATGATGTCCAGTTAACCAGTGAATACTGGGTACAGTGGTGGGTACGATAATCACAGCCAGTTATGAATCTTAGTGCACCATGATAGACAGCACCCAACATCTGCAGGGTTCTCGTAGGAGCGTTCATGTAAATAATGTCACCGTAATCAATGGAGGGAAGGAAAGTCACAGATACAAGGCGTTTCCTAGCATTCAGGGTTAGACAGGATCTGTTTCTGAAAAAGAAACCCAGTTTAACTTTCAGTTTCTTTACCAAGTTTTCCACATGGAGCTTAAAAGAGCGATGCGAATCGACCAAGATACCCAAATATTTATAGGAATCAACAAACTCAATCGGGACACCATTTGAGGATAAAATCGGAGGAAGAACTGCTGGGACCAACTTCCTATTTGAAAAAAGCATCCCTTTGGTTTTGTCGGCATTTAGGACAAGTTTGAGGCGGAACAAATCTGTCTGAATGTAGTTGAATGCAGATTTCAAAAGCTGGAAAGCCTTAGCAACAGTTTTAGCTTGATAATAAACAACTGTGTCATCAGCATAGAAAATGTATGGATGCATCAGGGATGTTTTTACCTACGTTATGTATGTAGATTGTAAAGAGGGTGGGTCCTAAGACTGAGCCTTGTGGTACACCATTGTTGACTGTTAAATAACTGGAGGAAGTACCATTATGTTGAACACATTGCCTCCGGTCTGAAAGATAGTTAGAGAACCAACCAATGGTGTGTTCTGAGAAACCAATTTCTGAGAGTTTATGACACAAGATGTTCTGATCCACAGTGTCCAAAGCTTTAGACAGGTCTAAGAAAAGTGCAGCACAATAATCCTTAGCATCCAGTGCTTCAAC